CTGAGAGTCTAGCCGAAGGGAGTTGTAGAGAGAGAAGGTGGAGAGATGGGTCTTTGGAAAGAGAAAGGTTGGTCCACTGTGGAGAAGAGAGGTCGTTGCAGACAAGAGAAGAACCGTTGGTGAAAAACCCATTTGACAGAGAGGAACAGAGGTGTTCCATAAAGATAAGAGTAGGTTCTCTGTTTTGCCTTGCAGTGATGGTTTAATTTTGCTCAATACTAGCTCAACATCAGAGGAAGAAGATGATAGTGATGATGGTTAAGTTATGATGGTTAAGTTGGCCGACACCGGTTGTGGCGGTGGTATTCCGGAGGGGTTTTCCGGCGCTTCTGAGCTTTGAATGGACAGAACAGGAGAGAGAACACCAGTGGATGGAGTGAGAGGAGGTGGAGTTGGACTAGAAGACGATGTTGGCTTCTTCCCTTCCCCGAGTCGCTCTAGCAACTTGAATTCCTGGAACCCACCTTCAGACAGTCATGGTCTGAGAGAGCCGAGAAGTAAGAGAGAGGAAGAGTTTCAGTTCAGTTATGGAATTTGTGACAGCGGAGTGAAGGTAAGTGTAGAGGTCCGGCGGGCGGCCAAGGCGAGGCTGCCGCCCGCCGGTGAAGCAGAATTATTAGCTTCTCAACCTTGCTCTGATACCATGTAAAATAAACTGATGTATATTATTGATTGATAATTTGATTACAAGATTGTTGTGTAAATTACAGATGGTGAGGTACTAATTATATAGGAGAGGATTGGGGAGTAGGTGAGTGTGTGTGGTAGGTGAGTTGAGTGGAGGTGGTAGGTGATGATATATTCTAACAGCCCCCCGCAAACCCCCGCAAACTCAAGGAGGATAGGAACTAACCAACTTGAGTTTGGAGAGAGTAACAAAACAAGAAAATACATAAAAATAAGAAAATACATAAAAATAAAAATAAAAAAGATAGGGGACACTGTATGATCGTGTCAGACCGTTGGTGAAGACACTGAAAGGTGGTGCTATAACGTGGTAGAGGACACTGGATGGTGGTGTCATAACATTGTAGAAGACAGTTTATGGGGTCATGTCGGACCG